GCTGCCTAGGGGTGGGGGGAAGGAGCTGGTGCTTTCAAGCAGACAGTGACTGTCCTTTGGCCTGTTGCCACAAGCCCTCACTTGGGTCAGCATGGCTGGGAAAACACAAACCAGCATTTTGGGAGCTTTCAGCTGAGAGCAATCAAGGGGCTCAGCCCAAGGCAGCTGAGCCAGTTAAACTCTGCCAGGGAGACTTACACGCTGCCTAGGGGTGGGGGGAAGGAGCTGGTGCTTTCAAGCAGACAGTGACTGTCCTTTGGCCTGTTGCCACAAGCCCTCACTTGGGTCAGCATGGCTGGGAAAACACAAACCAGCATTTTGGGAGCTTTCAGCTGAGAGCAATCAAGGGGCTCAGCCCAAGGCAGCTGAGCCAGTTAAACTCTGCCAGGGAGACTTACACACAAAACTCAAAGCTTAATTTTGAGCAAAGGTTCTTATTTGCCTAAACCCTTCAGAGAGTTGTTACCTTATGCTCTCTAGGCTGGGGTGTGCACAGCCATTGGCAAAGAGTTGTGTGAAAGTAGAGCAACTGAGTTGCCCAAGCACCTGAGGAAGTTGGTCTGTGGTTCTCTTGTCTTCTCTCCCAGTGCAGTGTCATGATGCTTTCTGCTGCCCTCTGAAGGCAGTCTTCAATAACTGACCAGAGCATTCTAGTGGAAGGGAAATAGCCTTCTCTACCTGTAAGAGTCCTGTCCACCAGCTAACCCCTGTGTTTTTCTTGGAGAGTATCCAATTGTCTGTGTGTCTCAGTACAGAGCTAATGTCAGGTGTATAGTGTGTAGCGCAGCATGTCATGTATGCAGCCAAATGTACTTGCTATTCTGACGGGAAAGCAAATGTGGTAATGGTAACTGCTGAAGGAGGAAAACGAATCCAAAAGGGTCCCTGGATTTCTCACTACTGAATGATGTACAAGGGAAAAGTATACAGCTGAGTTCAAAGGCGTTTTCTACACAGATTTTTCAATGATTAAATTGCAAGCTAAGGCAGACATTTCAAATACAGCTGAAGTATTTTTACACAAATATCTTCTTAAAAGAATGCCTGCAGTGCATGATTTCTACACACGTTGAATACTTTGTGATAGAATTACAAAGGAAGCAGGCTGACTCGGTAACTGTGTTACAGTTTGGTGCCGTTTGTAACAGTGCTTAAGGAAGACTACCAATAAACCGTTGTGCTGAAAAATGGAATGGGCTCTGTGTGGGGAAGTTGGGGTTGGGGGGATTTTCTGCCCTTGCCCCTGATGGCTTGGTTGCAGTTACCTGGGAATTTGGATCCTTGCTGCTTGGGTCTGTCAAGATGCCCTTTATGTGTAATGCTGGCAGATTAGAGGTACCAGCTGAACTTCTCTAGTCCAGCACCTTCAGGACCTGACTGGACCCAAACCAGAGACTTTGCTGAACCACAGGAGGTCGATATTGTCTAGCAGCATCACCAACACTTCCACTGCTTGTTGGGCTCTGAAAAGACATTTTGGGGTGAACTAGAGCTAAGTAACAGCACAGAACACTGAGAGCCAGGACTGGTGTCTGTAAACAAACAGTACGGGACCACAGGAAATTTGGCCACACCCATGATCTGTGAACATCTGGCTCACTAAAATCATGCTGGACCATAGATATTGCCAGACCAGAGAGGTTCAACCTGAATTGGAGAGGAGAGCTGCAGGACCAGATCTGGAGCAGCAGCTCTAAGAGGAAACAGGCATGCGTAGGACAGAGAAGGGCCTGGAGGCAGGACTGGGACTGTGCAGAGATGCTGTGCTGGGGGCAGAGGACAGGAGAAACAGACTAGTTTTAAGTCCAATCCCAAGCACCGCTAAGAAGAGCTGGGGCTGTCAAGCACACGCTAGGGCCAAAGGCCACAGTTCCACGGGAGGAGTGCCAGGTGAAAGCAGACCCAGTCAGCATGCTGAGTCTAAGGCAGGATGTGAGATTGGCGCAGAAGGTTCAGACTAGCACTGAGGAGCTGGTTTTGGAGGAGCAGACAGTCCCCTTCCCCCAACAGTGCCAAACAGGGATACTTGACTGCAACATTTCCGTGCACAAAATGGCAGCCAGGGCCAGGACATTGCGCTGGGGGCAGTCACAAGGTGGGGCTTGCAGTTCTGGGCTCCCTTCTTCCACATGCTCTGGAGCTGCCTGGGAGCAGCTGACTCCCCAGCAGCACAGCCAGCATTTGAGCCTGCTGCCAGTGTGCTGCAGCTGAGAGTCCCAGAGCGATGCCTTTTCTTAGTAGGTTAGTTAAGTGCCAGGACAGGCATGCAAGGGAAGTGAAGCAAGACAGGTCCCAATTCAGCCTTCCCAGGAAATTACTTCTGGGGGAGCTGGGAAATGGCAGCAGGGCCCAGGGTAGGAAGCAGATTTATCACCCTGTAATTCCATATATTGCACTAAATAACCCATTTCACTGTGACTGCCCCTGCTCAGCTGAGCTCAGTTGTAGCTGGCTACCCAGTGATACAGTGCCTGGCTCTGCAGCTCTGCACAAGCTCAGAGCCCAGAGTCCATGGCTCACCTCGTCCTGCCACATGGCACCTCCCGTCTCTTCTGAAGGCCAGAGCAAGCTCCTGGCAGCCAAGGAGTCTCCTGGGCTGCCAGGGACAGGCTGGTCTGGAAGGGCATCTCTGGCAGCAGGAACCCTTTCTCTGGCTATAGAGCCATGTTCTGTGCAGCCGGGGACAGGATGACATCACCAGTGCTCCCTGCTCATCTCACTCCACTTCCCCACAAAAGGCAGCACTCAGACACTGGGGTATGTAGCTAGCATGCTCCTGTTTGGGTAGGGCTCTAGGACAATCCCAAAGACAGGAAACTGCTGCTGGGCCCTCTGTGACTTCCAGTGACTCCTTGGCACATGTCTGCGATGGTGCAAACCATCTCCGTGACAGCCACACGCAACAATCAGCAGCAGACACAGAGTGAGGGGGCAGAGGGAACTGGTCAGCTGCCCTGCTCAGAAGAGCCACCAGGGGAGGGTTTCCCAAAGCAATTGGGGGAAGCATGTCCAGTCCCCTACTCCCCATGCATAAAGCTCATCAGTTGCCTGGAGTAGGGGAGTCTTGGGGAGCAGCTTGCTGCCCTGCAGGCTGAACAGTGTTTGCTAGCAAGCAGTAAATGATTAAAAGCATGTGGGCAGCAAGGCCAAGTGTCCCACCCAGCACTTAGCTTTGGAGGCCCCTCCCCACTATCAGTGCTCCAGGCCGTTAGGAAAGCGGGCCGCACGCTGTCCATGCAGTGGCAGCTTTTTAGGGTTAACACCCATTGTGTTGTCGCTGCCTGGAAGCACACCAAACAACACAACCCCGTGCGGGGCTGTTCCCAAGCTGTGTCCTCCCCATAATCATGTCTGGACTAGGTCTCACTGCCCAGACGTGATCCGGGGCATAAAGGAAAACAAAGCCGTGGCTGCTGTCTGGGTGGCTGACAGATGGCACAGCAGCTTGTAGCGGATGATTTCTGAAGACAACTAGCAAAATTGTGTATTTACTTTCTGCTTCATTACTGTACAAGAGCTTCCGTCTGTCCCTTTTATGCAGCCTCTCACCAGAGCTTCGATCCTCGCTCTTCACTGATCCGTCACTCCCTTATCAGCGCTTGCAGGGCAGTGGGCTGTGTAATCACGCTGTAACATGGTCAGGATATGAGAGAGGATTCTGGCAGCCCCTCAGCTTGCTGTCACCCTGCTGCTTCAGCCAGACTCTCCTACTTCCCTGCCTCACACTTCACAGAAAGTCTGGCCCATTTGCTGAGAGCAGCAAGGCTGTGCAAAGGCACAAAGTGACCAGTATCATCTAGGTGGCAGGACACCTTCTGGCTGCATACAGGCAGTACCAGAGGAATGCTGCTGGGTGCACTAGGGCTGAAGCAGCTATTCCCCAAAGGGGTGGACTGTACATAGCAGCCCCCACAATCCTAGTGGTGCCAGAACACAACATGCAAGCTGGTGCCCTTAGCACTGTGCTGACCTTTCACATCACTGCTCTCAAAGATCCAGGCTATGTCGCCTTCTTAGCCCCTGCCAGGAACCACAGCAGATTCGCTGCTGCTAACACTGCTATGCAAGGCAGTTTCCATTCCAACTCTTAGCTACGCAGGCAGCATTAGTGGGGAGCGTGGTGGCATCTGGGACAGACAAGTCTGGCCACGGTTAGCTGGCTGCCCTCCTGTCAGCAGAAAATCATTTCAGCAAAGTGGGAGCCAGACTGCACTCCACCCTGCAAATCAGGAGCTGAATCTTCCCAAAGCTCACTTAGCCACTCAGCTGCACTCTGCAGAGATGCCCTTGTGGCCAGGCCACAGTGAGAATGGGGTGGGGGCCCCACTGGAAACAGCGATATGTTCTACCAGAGTGAGAGCTTGGGATGAGATTCACCTGGGCGGCAGTTGCTTTGTCTGGCTATGGCAGAGGTGTGTAGGGAGCTGAAACAGAGTCAAGCGTGGAACTTTTCTTTGCTTCCACACCTCAGTCCTGACCTGCAACCCACTGACATCCCAGTGCTGCCACCCCTTCCAGAGGAAAGGCCAACAAAGGGTGATTTGGGGTGGTGTCTAAGCAGCAGAGACACCTTACTGACCTGTGCCTGCAGACATGCCAGGCTGTGGTAGCCCATTGGTCAGTCAGCCCCAACGCTCAAAGCCACAGGTGAGAGAACTGTGCAATAAATAGGCCTCTATTGTTTCTGACAAGTTGTAAATGGATGAGTCCAGCAGACTCCTCTGTATTTTACTTGTTTTATTTGAACTGCCACAGGGATGTTCATGCTCAGAGCAGTAGCCACCTTTGTACTACAGAAAACGGTCTCAGAGAGGTGTTGTTCCCATAAACTCAGGTCCAGGCTGCCTTAATTGCTAACCTGATGCAAACCAAAACTGGAGGTCAGTTTGTTTCAGCAAAGATGGCAGCTGCAGAGCAGTCGTAAAGCTGCGTGTGTGATGAGTTCGTGGGCTCTCGCCTGTTCTGAATTCAGAGAGGTAGCCAGGAGGGCAGGGCATGTGCAGCACAGTCTGTGTGTGTACTGTGTTCAGGCCTGTAAACTGATCTCATAAAGACACTTATGAAAGGCAGGGATGCCCTGGGGAGATAACAGGGTTTGGTGGACCATTTGGAAGGACAGTGTTAAGCAACTTAGCCAAGGAAGGAATGCTGGAGACAGATGGGGAGGGAGGACTAGGAGACCTCCTAGACACTGCTATGTTACAAAAATCTAAGTGCTTTATGCAACTGAGGGGAGTAGTTAGCTCTTCTCCTCTTCCTGCTAGTCCAACAACATTCAGGGCTCTGCTAATTCAAGGTGAGGCACTCCACGGTGACAGGCTCACTCATGGAGCTTCAGAGGTGTAAACCATCTGACTGAGTAGGAGTGTAGGCACAGGGAGAGCTAGCCCCTGACAGATCTCACAAAGCAAGTATTGCCCAGTAACTCAGCACTCGGTGCCGCTGAGAGCAAGCTAACCGGTCGCTTTCAGTCGAGGTGCTCTGGGGCTCCAAGTTGAAGGTGGCAGATGCCACTGCAATCCGCCTCCTAAGTTCTTTGGTAACAGTCAACATTTCCCAACAGACCACAGCAAGGCAAAGGGCCCCCTGAGCATGCACATGGCATGCTGGATTTACCTGGCAGTCCAGACCACCAGCCCAAGAGCAGGGCACTCAGCTGTCCTGGCTACTCACTGTTTAACCGACCAAGGCACGACACACAAATAAAGCTTTGTGCCCCCAGGTTCTTTACAGAGCCGCTGGTATAGAATAAAAGTCTTGGCGTTTTAGCTTATTACAGACAGAGCTTCTCCCGGCTTGGATTTGGACAGGCCATTCCAAGAGGTCAAAGCCAGCTCAGAGCAGATTCAACCCATGCTTCAGCAGCTTCTGTTTGGCCTTGCCTGGCAAACTGAACGCACTGTCATGAGGGTTGGGAACCCCTGAATTGCGCAGAGGAGTGGTCAGCTGCTGGAAGTAAGTCTCCTGGACTGGGTTCTGGCAGGCATACACAGCAGTGGAGGCATTCCTAGAAGGACAGAAAGGAAAGCAAAGGTCAAGGCTCTGAGAGGAAGATGCAAGCACCCTGGTGTTCTTTGCGAGTTCCATTAGAACACATGGCAGTGTGACACTGAACAGCCAGCCCCAAGGACGAGAGTAAAGGCATGGGTAGTCCCGACTGGCTACAGGAGCCCTGCTCCATCTGCACCACTTCATAAAAGCAGGGGGCATGTTTATGTGACAGTGACAGCAAGAAATGTGGTGGACTAACCCCGGGAATACAAGAGACTGACAAGGTGTCCCACAGCACAACAGGTGTCCATTAGGGATGTAACAGGGTAGTCGGTTAACTGATTAATCGGGATTTTAAATGCCTAGTTAATGTCACTTTTCACAGCCTCTCAGCTAACTAACAAGTCTGCAGAGACAAGTGATACTAACACACAAGTATCACTTCTCACAGCAGATTTACTCAGTCCCAGCAAGCCCAGGGTGGGGAGATGGAGAGGGAGGGAGACAGCAGGAGGCAGGGATGATGGGGGTGGGAGTTAGTATGGGGAACTGAGTCCAAAGCCCCACGGCTGTAGTCTGAGGCCCATGACCCACACCTGAAGCCCTGCAGCCAGGATACTGAGCCCACCACTGCGCAGCTGAAGCCCAAAGCCCCACGACCACACTAGCAGCAGCCATGACAGCTCAGCATGTCAGAGGCCTAGGCCGGCTTGCAGTGTGCAATGATACGCAGGGATTGGTTTGCCACAGCGTGGACAAGACCCCCACCCATACCTGTATACAAAGATTGCCGAGATCCTTCCCACAGTGCACTTTCCCATGTGCTGCTGCTGTCACTGCCTGCACCCCCTCTGGGCACGGGCAGCAAGGGAGAGATGCTTGGCATTTCCCAGCCAGCCTACCTTGCACGCAGTGAGGCAGCAGTTAGCCAGAAGTGTAGGCCTGGCTGGGAAGGCCAACTTGTGCCAAATGGATGCAAAACGACTCAGTTCCTTGTAACAGGAACAGGGTGGAGGCAGTGTCTGTGCCCCCGTGACACCATGAAAGGCTCTGACTGATGAAACCATCTTGCTTGGAGCATTGAATTTAGTTTGCCACACACGCCGCAGCCTGTTTCCAACCCAACATGCCAGGCAAGAAAACAAACCCAGACTGACAATTTCAGACGCCTTTGGCTCCAAGCCGAGACACAAGTTTACTACGAACAGCTCTATTTAAAGCTGCAGCTTCGAACCTTATGGTGCCAGGAGCTGGCAACATTCTAGCGCTATGTCTTCATCCAAGCCTTTGGCAACAGTCATCTTGCTGTCCGCTCACTCCACTCAGCAGCTGAACATCAGGAAATGAGGTGAGCTGACTGGGTCTTTGGTAAGAGGGAACTCTAGGGAGTATGCAGAACACAATGGGCCTTCGCTTCTGTTTGGCCTTGCCTAGCAAACTGAATGCACTGTCTTGAGGGCTGGGAACCCCAGAGTTGTGCAGAGGAGTGGCCAGCTGCTGGAAGTAAGTCTCCTGGACCGCGTTCTGGCAGGCATACATAGCAGTGACCTGGCCTGGCTTTCCTGCATCCTACACAGAGCTCATGGGCTGGGATGCTAACTACTGTACCTCTTGAAGACAAGTAGCTTAAAGGCCTTCTAACAAGGCAAGCATGTTCTGAAGTGCCCCACGCTCATCTCCTCCCCCTATCACCTCTGGATGGAAGCAGCTCCCCTGGCTGAAGAGAGGAGGAAGCACCAGGCAGCCCTTACCTGATGATCATTTCAGAAGCAGTCGGGTGCTGGTGGAAGTCAGAGTGGATCAGACTCACAGCTTTCAAGAACTGCTGATCCTGAGCGCCTAGTACCTGGGGCAGGTTTGCTGCAGAGAAGAAAGAGGGAGAGGTTAGGAAGCTGCCTGTGCAAGGTAGTTTGTCCCAGCTTTGTCAGCGGGAAAGAATGCTGGATTTCTGCCCTCTGCCTGCGGTGGTCAGAGAGTGAGCCAAAGGGACATGACACAGGCAGTATGGTGATGAAGGCAGGGGACAGGCTCACAAACAGCACAACAATAGACCAAAGCAGGATCATTTGGGCCACTCTCTCTCTCCCCAGTCTCTCTCTCTTCTGTGCTGGAGAAGGCATGTGGCTAGCAATGGTTAGTGCTCATGGGCTGTCGGGAGACACGAGTACGGACTGGAACGATGAGAGGTGATCTGGGATCTATGCAGCTCTAAGGGGACGCCAGCACAGACTATGACTGACAAAAGCTCAGGCCACCATGCTAAAGAGCTGGGCAGTGCAGCTTGGGCTTGCTTGGGCTCTGACACCAGGGCTGGGGCCCAAACTCCAGCCCGAGCTGGAGCAGCTACCCAGCGATTTACAGTGCGGCAGCCCTGGCCCTGTAAGCCAATGTTGGTCAGCCCAGGCTCTGCGCCTGGCTGTCATGGGCTGCTGCTCAAGGGTAAGGTCAGTCCCATGTTACTGTTCCATTGGCAGATATTTTCACAGCCACAGATGTGCTGAGTGCCCAGTGCTGCTATGCTCACAGATGGGGAGGCAGCGACTCCACCGGGACGGGGCAGGTGAGATACAGCTGTCAGGAAATGGTCAGGCAGAATCAGGACGGTGTTCGAAAGGACACTGCCCACAAGCAGACTCCCACTCTCACTCCCAGAGACATTTGGCTTGAGCCTGACACAAGCTGATCACAGACCCTGCCTGAACTTCCAGTGCTGACCATGGTCACAACTTGGGCATTGGGTGAAAGGCCAGATGGGGAAGGCCAGCCCTTCTGCCCAAGGCCCCGCCCCTTCCACCTAAAGACACGCCCACCCCCAGCTTGATCTTTCTGGGCCATGTGGGGAGCTGGGGCTGCTGTGCTGTGGCACCTGCCCGGCCCTCACCAGTGGCTGAGGAAAGCCGCACTGCTGCACAGCAGCTCTATCCCTCCCTGGTGGCTGGGGAGAGCTGGGCTGCTGTGCAGAGGCTTTATCCCTCTCTGGAGGCCACTGCTGAGCTGGGCTGCTACACTGCAGCCCTAGCCTTCTCCCCTGGTGGCCCAACCCTTAGGCATTTCGGTGTGTAGGCAGTTTTAAGAAGGCTGTGCCTTCCCTTGCCTACATTACCAACTGCCTATGGGTCACCGTTTACCAGGCACCAGCAGTATGCACTCCCAAAAGCAGGACAGGCACCCAGCACCTGGGCTGTGCTAACTTCAGACAGCAGTTCAGGCAGGAGATGTTAACACAGGCAAGTTAAAACAAGGCAGCAAGCCTAGAGCTCTGGAAACAAGGCCTCACCTGTCAGCACATTCTGAATGCAGTCGTAGTGAGTAAAGCTGTAGGTGGCTTTGACTGCAGAGGAATGATCTTTGGGCAAAGTCTCCTGCAGGTGAACCTCCAGGCCATTGAGAGAAGCCAGACTGCTGTGATACTGCAAACAGAGCAACACACGTGTGCATCAGAGAAGACTCACCATTTACTAGGGGCTGTAATTTGTCTGGACAAACATGGATGACATGCCAATGAACCCACAACTGACATGTGGGTTCTGATCCATCCCTGGAAGCATTATCAACTCAAGGCTGTTTGGTGGCTTGTGTGGTACTAACTGGTGGATTCCCGTCCATTTATTAGCCCACAGGTCAATGATGCAGTAGGTTTGGCAAAGGACACGAGAGTGGCAAAAGGGCCTTTCAAGCACCAACGGCAGTTCATCAGCATGGGATGCAAGACTTAATGACCTCACTTCCTCCCAGCACTTCTCTATGGGGTGCCCATTTTCACAGAATCATAGAATCCCAAGACTGGAAGGGACTTTGAGAGGTCATCGAGTCCTGTCCCCTGCCCTCATGGCAGGACCCAGCACCATCTATACTATCTGACAGGTGTCTGTCTAACCTGCTCTTAAATATCTTCAGTGACAGAGATTCCACAACTTCCCTAGGCAATTTATCCCAGTGCTTTGCCACTTAGACAGGTAAGACATTTTCCTTAATGTCCAACCTAAATGTTTCTTGCTAGAATTTAAGCCCATTGCTTCTTGTCCTATTATCAGAATATGGAAGGAGAATAATTTTTCTCCATCCTCCTCATAAACACTCTTTGAGGTACTTGAGTTAGGGACTTAGGTATTTTCATGAAGGCACTGTCCATTTTTTAAATCAGTAACTGAATATTACTCAGGTGACAGAAGGCTCTTGCTGCTGTAATTGAAAATTAGTGTTAGGTGCATTCCAATGTAACACATTTACACTGTATTTAATTGCAGAAGCCTGGCATTGGATGCATCTTCCCTCTAGGTAGCACACTACTCCCTCTCCTGCCAGACAACAGAGCTTTTCACAGCTCTAAGAGAGCCAAAGGGGGCTGGACTCGCTTCTGGAAACAGCCCATCTGCTCCAACTCCATCCAAATTGCAAAACACGAGATTAAGAATTTCTACCAGTAACTAGGGAGCTGTCACTGGTCCCAAGAACACACAACCACCGACTAGGCATTAGACAATGGAACTGCTGTCCAACGAGGCATGGGGGACCCCTCTGTCTCTTCCTATAGCGGGGTGCACAGACAGGGCTGAACCCACTGCAGTCTCCAGCATGCTCCCCCTCAAGGAAGATTAGTTTTCTCATCTTCAAAAGTGTCCCTGTCCCCTCCTCAGCCACAGGGAGGGTCATGCTTCCATTCGGCTCACTGGGCTCAGAACAGGTTCTTTTCAGGCTCCACACCCTGTCCATTTTATAGATGGATAAACAATACAGAGAGGCTGAGTGGTTTGCTGAAAGTCAGAGAGCACGATGGAGCACACTAGGACCCAGGAGTGCTGATTGACAGTCCTCTGCTGTATCCGTTAGACCAGCAGTATGCAACCTATGGGTTGCAACCCCCAAAAGGGGTCGCAGCTATCTTCCTGGGGGGTCACAGCACTTTGATCCAGGCCGTCCAGCATTTTGTTTTCCTGGCTCGGTGCCCTATGTACACATGGCAGGGGAAGTGGATGGAGCACACTAGGACCCAGGAGTGCTGATTGACAGTCCTCTGCTGTATCCGTTAGACCAGCAGTATGCAACCTATGGGTTGCAACCCCCAAAAGGGGTCGCAGCTATCTTCCTGGGGGGTCACAGCACTTTGATCCAGGCCGTCCAGCATTTTGTTTTCCTGGCTCGGTGCCCTATGTACACATGGCAGGGGAAGTGGACCGGGGTTTTAAATTAAAGGGGCCACAACAAAATGTTCCTGGCTTTTTTTTTTTTTTTTGGCTCAACAAAAATTAAAAATGTTCCCAGTTCCGGGGGTTGCGAATGAAAAAAGGTTGAGCACCACTGCGTTAGACCACAACCCCATTCAAAACTCAGCTGGGAGGCCACCTTTCTGCCAGTGGAGATCAAGTGTCCTGCATCTAGGAATGGGACAGCTGAGGGGTTCTCATTACATCAGATCTGGCCCAAAACTTACACTGGGTAAGAACATGCTTTTGGAACTGCAAAGGGTAAGATCAAACCCAACATTTAAATGATTCAACTCCTACAGGCAGAGCCTTGACAAACGGCTTTCCAGAACATCTCAACCCTGACATAACTGACCTGTGGGAATGCAGGCATGCCAGAAAGGGAAGCTGATTAGTCTGTGTTCACTGCCCATTAGAAACGCAACCCACCCTGATTCAACAGTGTGTATGCAGACAGTGATCATTCAAAGCTGCGCACTCAATGTCAGGCTTTGTGTGGGTGAGGCACCTGGGGCTCCACAGGGATTTTTCCAAGGGGAGAAGTGGGCCAACTAGCAAGTGGCAAGTTTATAACAAAGGCACAAATGACAGGGTTAGATAGGCCACATTTCCCTTATGGCTGTTCTGTCTCACTCCCCAGTGACAGAAACAGAGAGAGGAGCTGGTGAAGGCACACTCCGGAGGAGCTGTCCACATAGCACAAAGGCACAAATGACAGGGTTAGATAGGCCACATTTCCCTTATGGCTGTTCTGTCTCACTCCCCAGTGACAGAAACAGAGAGAGGAGCTGGTGAAGGCACACTCCGGAGGAGCTGTCCACATAGCCGCAGGCCTCGCTTACCATGCCACAGCACCACCAGCAAATGCGACTCAAAAGCAGGGCCCAGATTAGGGGGGGGAAATGCAGGACAATGTAGCACTTTAAAGACTAACAAGATGGTTTATTAGATGATGAGCTTTCGTGGGCCAGACCCACTTCCTCAGATCAAATAGTGGAAGAAAGTAGTCACAACCATATATACCAAAGGATACAATTTAAAAAAATGAACAAATATGAAAAGGACAAATCACATTGCAGAACAGAAGGGGGATGCGGGGGGGTGGGAAGGGGGAGGAAGGAAGGTAAGTGTCTGTGAATTGCTGATATTAAAGGTAGGGAGAGTGGGATGTTTGTGAGTTAATGGTATTACAGGTGATAATTGGGGAAACTGTCTTGGTAATGGGTGAGAAAGTTCAAAGACTTGTTAAGTCCTTGTTGGTAAGTGTCGAATTTTAACATGAATGACAGTTCAGAGGATTCCCTTTCAAGTGCAGATGTAAAAGGTCTTTGTAGCAGAATGCAGGTGGCTAAGTCATTTAGAGAGTGTCCTTTCTGGTTAAAGTGGCAAGAAACTGTTTTCTCTTTGTGATCTTGTCTGATATCTGTTTTGTGGGCATTAATCCTTTGGCGAAGTGTCTGAGATGTTTGTCCAATGTACATAGCAGACGGACACTTTCGGCACATGATAGCGTAGATTATATTTCTGGATGCGCAGGAATATGTGTTCTTGATCTTATAACTCACTTGGTTAGGTCCAATAATGGTATCAGCAGAATGAATATGTGGACAAAGCTGGCAACGGGGTTTGTTGCAAGGGAAGGTACCAGGGTTGGTATTAGTGTGGTATGTCCTGTGGTGGTTGGTAAGAATCATCTTGAGGTTAGGTGGTTGTCTATAGGAGACTATGGGTCTGTCTCCCAGAGCCTCTTTGAGTATGGTATCCTGTTCCAATATAGGCTGTAGTTTATTGATAATGTGTTGGACAGGTTTAAGTTGGGGGTTGTAGGTGATGACAAGTGGTGTTCTATTGTTGGTTTTCTTGGGTCTGTCTTGAAGTAGATGGTTTCTAGGTATTCGTCTGGCTCTTTCAATTTGCTTTTTTGTTTCTCTGGGTGGGTAGTTGAGATTTATAAATGCTTGGTAGAGATCCTGAAGCTTCTGGTCTCTGTCAGTGGGGTTAGAGCAGATGCGGTTGTATCGAAGGGCTTGGCTATAGACGATGGATCGTGTGGTGTGTTCTGGATGGGAGCTGGATGCATGTAGGTAACTGTATGAGTCAGTGGGTTTTCTGTAGAGAGTGGTGTCTAATTTTCCATTGTTGATTTGTACGGTGGTGTCCAGGAAGTGGATCTCTCGTGTAGAATGGTCCAGGCTGAGGTTGATGGTGGGGTGTAGGTTGTTGAAATCTCTGTGGAATATCTCCAGTGTTTCTTGGCCATGTGTCCAGATCATAAAGATGTCATCGATGTACCGTAGGTAGAGGAGGGGTGAAAGGGGACGGGAGTTGAGGAAACGTTGTTCTAGGTCAGCCATAAAGATGTTAGCATACTGTGGGGCCATGCGTGTACCCATGGCTGTGCCGCTGATCTGGAGGTATAAGTTGTTCTCAAACCGGAAATAATTGTGGGTGAGAACAAAGTTACATAGGTCTGCTATCAGGTTGGCAGTAGTGTCCTCTGGGATAGTGTTTCTAATTGCTTGTAATCCGTCTTCATGTGGGATGTTGGTATATAGAGCTTCTACATCCATGGTGGCAAGGATGGTATTATTGGGGAGGTTATCGATGTTTTGTAGTTTCCTTAGGAAGTCAGTAGTGTCTCGGAGATAGCTGGGGGTATTGGTTACGAAGGGCTTGAGAAGAATGTCTACATAGCTTGATAGACCAGTAGTGAGCGTGCCAATACCAGAGATGATGGGACGTCCGGGGTGCCCAGGTTTATGGATCTTGGGAAGTAGATAGAACAATCCTGGTCGGGGGTCAGAAGGTGATTCTGTGAGGATTTGTTCCCGAGTAGCTGTGGGGAGGCTTTTAAGGAGACAGTGTAGTTTCTTTTGGTAGTCCAAGGTGGGATCAGAGGGGAGAGGTTTGTAAAATGTGGTGTTCGAGAGTTGTCTGGTTGCCTCCTGGTTATAGTCGGCCTTATTCATAATGACCACAGCACCCCCTTTGTCAGCTGGTTTGATTACAATGTCCAGGTTGTTTTTGAGACTCTGGATGGCATGGTGTTCAGCGCGGCTAAGATTGTGTGTCGCTTGTTGTCGTTTGCGAATAATGTCAGTCTGTGCGTTGTTGCGGAAGCTGTGTATATAGAAATCCAGATTGTAATTCCGACCGTCAGGGGGAGTCCATATAGAATTATTTTTCCTTTGGTGTTGGTAGGGGGGATCTGGTAGGTCAGATTGATGTTCAGTGGTGGTTTGGAAATATTCTCGGAGACGGAGGCGGCGAAAAAAAGCCTCAAGGTCACCACAAAATTGTATCCAGTTTGTGGGGGACGTGGGGCAGAAAGAGAGACCCCGGGACAAGACAGACTCTTCTGCTGGATTGAGTTTGTAGCTGGAGAGGTTAACAATATTATCCGGTGGGTTGAGGCAGTTGCTGTTGTAGCCAGTGGTATGGAGCAGGTTAGAAAATTTATTGTCTTTTCTTTGTTGTAGGGAATAGAAGTGTGTATAGTAGATTTCTTGTCTGGTGGAACAAAGAGAGAAAGAGAGCACTGCACTTGCCAATCACCTGGCTGGATTTGCAGCACCTCCCTTTCCTGGTGAGTCATTCCTGAGTCACTGCACTCTGGTGGCCTGATTACAAGGTGCCAGCCAGAAAGTCACAAATCCTGCATCTTAACGGAGTACAGCTCAGAACACCCCCCACCTCCTGTTTAGAAAGAAAACAGCAGCTCTGCTGACACAGAAGACTCTAATGCCTTGTTTAGGGAAATGGCACCTAAGCAAGTGTGTCCTTCTCCAGCAGACCAAAGCATTTCCTGGCATCTCGCCATTTGCCAGTTAAGCCTGCACACTAACCACAGCCCGCAGAGGAAGCAACAATGACGTGCTTTTGGTGCTGGGTCCTAGGACCCAGCTGCTGACATGAAGTGCCCTCATGACAGCCTCTCTTCATGTGCCATAACTGAACTGTGGAATGGCACCAACCTGCTAGTTCCCTTGGTTATGGAAGCCAGCTGCACAGAGTTGCAGGCTGCCAGCCAGTCAAACACCATTTCTTTCCAGATGGAGTTGCCGCCAGACAACCAACTCGTCAGAATTGCTTAAGGATGTAAAATCCTGTTTAACTGGCTAACTGATTAAAAGGGGTTAAACCTTCAAATCCCTAGTATCGCTAGGGTCACAAGTTGTAACACGCCAAGGGGGCAATTAAACTTTATGCAGGTAGAGCAGTGTCGGAGAGCTAGCCCTATGTAATTGCAGTGCCTGCTAGTACCCACGGCTCATGGTTAGCACTCTGTAGTGTGGAACATTTAACCACAAGCCCTCCCAGAGGAGCACCCCTCCTGCACAAGCCACTTGTGATCTGCCAGACTAGAACACTGGGGCTGGTCAGTCAGAGCTGCAACATTCCTACTATGCTCATCTCTAAACTGTACTCAAGGGAGGTCTGAAGCCCTTGGTGGGAGGAACCAAAGGGAGAGGGTGGGGGTGGGGTAAAGGGACTTGTCTCCAAGGTCACAGAGTAACCAGAGGGAGAACTGGAACCAGGACTCAAGAGTCTGACTCCCATTCCTCTGCCCAGGCCCCCCATCCCACACTGCCATGAGACAGGAAGGGTATGAAACATTTTCTAATGTGAAGAGGCAGCTTCGTTTGTCTTACCACATCTTCAATGGAGCCCTGGACATCCTTAAACTGCTCCTCCGCCAGCAGCAACAACACCAGCCCTTTAATGCTGTGAACATACAAGAGCATCTTAACCAGCTTGGCCTGCTTGTCTGACACAGTGCAATCAGCGGCGGCTAGACAGTCTGCCCTGGCAGTTACTTCTGTAGGCAACCTGTTCTCTCTGCTCTTGGGCGCGCCTGGACCATCTGCCCTGACGCTGTGTTGCTGTCTTGCCTGGCCTCCAGCAACAGGAAACAAATTCCTACCCCAGTCATCTGCAGGGAACGTTTGCTCCAACTGTGCTGCATAGGGCAGGGGCTCCTGCCCAGAAGCATCAAACCACGTTGCTCCAGATCCTCTTCCAAAGGCCCCATTCTGGTTGCTGGGGTCTTGACTGTCCACACTCGACAGACCGTCACCTTCACTTGAATGATTTCTTCTCGACTCTTTGAGTGGGTAGCAGGAGGAGAGGCTGGCACTGGCTGGGGGGAGCCCCTTGTGGGGGGGACTGCTAGAGCGCAATGTGGGCTCCATAGGGCCTCCACCCTCCTGCCCCGGGGCACCCAGCTTTGGAAAGCCTGAGGCCGTGCCTGTGTCTCGCATGCACTCTGCAGCAGGCAGTTTGGAACTGATGGGCAGGACTCCCAGCTTTCTCTGTAGTGGAGAAGATAGTTTGAAGCAGCCAGAACTCAACACTGGGCTTTCACTGCTGGGGCTGCTCACTGCTTCAGCAGGGAAATTCTCTACACTGGCCTGTGGTTTGGAGAAACCACTGGTAGAAGCTGTATTTGCAAAGGTGACTGAGTTCAGAGTATCTTCTGCTGTGATGGCACTTGAGCCCTGAGCAAGGGGCTCTCTCACCCACAGAGCAGACTGGCTTCGGACTTCATCAGCCCGGGCCGAATCTGAGAATGCTCGTGAGCGGAGGGTGTTCTTAGATCCTGTTGGGTTTCCTGGAGATGTGGGCAACCTAACAGGAGACAAGAGCAGCACTCTATTAACCACTGAGTTGCAGATACGTGGCAAATCAGAGGCCAGTAACAATCAGAAAAATAAACACCCCCATTTCCTGTTGAAAACCTGATCTGCACTCCTGATCTGAATGTACCCAGCAAAGGAGGAACTGGCTAATCTCAGAGGCTGTGCCCGTCTCAAACCTCAGCGAGGAACTCCCAGAGCAGTGCAGTCTTCTCTTCTGTGCTGGGCATATTGCTCCCTTACATGCAACACAAAGAACGGAGGCTATACTCCGAGCACTGGGGCTCAGAGATGATGGTGTGTCAGCTTGTCTGAGGTGGGGAGGTCATTTTGCTTTATGTAAAGCACAGCAGCAGAGATAAGCCCAAGCCCTTTCCTCCCAGACAATTCAAGTTATTCGAGTTACCCAGCCAGATAAGCCCCCAACAACGGCAGTACCCCTCACTCAGGCCTCGTGTTATTCTGAGGGAAGATAGCAGCAAAAAATAGTGAGCATGGGCTTGGTGGCGGCATGAGCTCAGCTGCTGCAGAGACTCTTTACCACCTCAGGAATTCACTTCCTACCTAGTCATCCACTCTACTGGAAACTCCCGGAGCGCTGTGGCTTCATCTTCTGTTAGGAAAACTGGGATGATAGAGACATCCTGGGGCAATGGGAGACCTGCAAGAGCAGAACGGACACAGACCAGTGAGAAGAAATTAAAATGTCTGTACGGATGCCAGACTCCATCAGTGCAGTCCTCCTGTGAGAGGAGAGGAAGGAGGCCTCTGGCCAAGGCCCACGCCTGGCTCTGGAAGCCATAGCACAGAACTGACCAGGCGGCTTTTTCCTCCGCCCTTCACAGAACTGACCAGGCGGCTTTTTCCTCAGCCCTTTACAAACTCAATGCCTGGTACCAGCAAATACCCTGTGGCTTTTCTGAGCATCCCAGAGATACAGCAGCGGATGTGAGGAGAGGGCAGAGGAAGAGCTGCCCAAAACGAGTGGAACATCCTCAGGTCTAACTCACCAAAGGGATGAAAGAAAAAGTCCAGTTCTGAGTCGCTGTTCAGAACCCAAACTCCTACCATACGTCCAAACCTTTGCACCCTTTCTACTTTCACAGTTTTGTCACTGACCAAGTTGACGCACCCCCAGTTCCACATAGCTGCAGAATTTGTGGGAGAACCCATATGAGCAAATCCCTGCCCTTAAGATGCAGGAACAGGCCCTAGATCCGCCTCACAATACCCACTGAACAGACTCTGGAAGGTGGGTGCACCTGGAACTTTATCTGGGGCATAATGGAAGCAGCAAGATCTGCCCTGTTATGTTTTAACTGCAGTAGAGGGTAAAACTGGATCTCAGAAGGAAACCAGGCCGGAAAAGGGCAGCACACTCCTGCAATGCAGCTCACCATGTGCGCTGTGCGACGAGCCTGACTTATGCTCCTGCAGCACCTCCCCACTTGCAGGTATACTCTGAAAATAAAGCACAGTTATCACTGGCCTGCCTTAAGACTGTTCAACAGGAGCCACCAGACACACACACAGGCTCAACCCCAAGGCCACCGAAGTCCTTGGGGATTTTCCCCCTGACAGCAATGGACACTGGATCAGGCCCTGAGGGCAAGACTGTGATAAACCTACTCATGCTCTGCAGTGACTTGCTGCTCCAGGAGCCATGCTGAGTTCACTGGGACTAGCAAGGAAGTAAATCTTTGTTCATTCCCTGAACCAATGTCAAAACAGATGCTTTCCCAATCTGTTGTGCCATGCAACCGCACACAGATGTGCAAGCGTAACACCTCTTGGAATGCTGTGTTAATTTAGTAACAGACAGAATGAGAAAACTAAGGGATTACACAGGAACACTAAAGAAAACTCAGTGGGTAATGAGTTAGCTATGAGCATTTTGCCCGTGTCACATAACAAGCATTTAATTTTTCAGCAAACACTGCAGTTTTAGAGTAAGGGGATCGCTATATACATTCATTAAGTATGTAGCTAAGCAGCTGCCTTTGGCCAGGTTAATCTGAAAATGACCGATCATTTCTGACCTCTTGACAAGAATTCAATAGGCAAAATACTGACAGGAGAAAAGCTCCCATGTGCAGCAGCACCATCTAGACTCCTGAACATCAACAGGAATTTTGATTTTTGTTAGCCAGGAGAACCATTTCACATCAGCATCAAGCAGCTCCAGGAATGCTGGCTGGCTGGTTCTGTGGTGTGAGTCACACATAGATGGGATATACATGCTGCTGGGCTTGGGTTTAACAACATACCTTTCCTGCAGCTTCTGTTCCTTGAAGGAGAACCTTGGCAGTGAGAGGAGGTGGAAGTTGCGTGCTCACAACCCTAGCAGGGCAGAATACAAACATAACCAGCTATGAGCTGAGTTTCTTGCTGAAGTTCAGGTTCACCACCACCCCTGCTAAGCTTAGTTTTCTGGGGAAGGCAGATTGCTCTCACACTTGCTGGGGGCACTGTGCTCTGCTCTTTCGCCATCCTGAAAGCAGGTTCCAAACCCCATTCCGCGCATTTGCAGACACCCCAGCTGAACCACGGGAGGTTCGTGGACTGAAAAGGGGGAGCTAAATCACACAATGACAAGTAAGTTGTGAGGTCAAACTAGCACCTCCAGCAGCAGTGATGGCCCATGGACCTGCAAGGCCTTTAGACATTCCTGTCAATCCCAGGGCACTTCCTGGAGATGAGTAAGGGGGAATTACACTCCCCAGCAAAACACACAGAATCAGCAAAAGTAAAATTTCATGCTGGGTATTTACCATTCATTGGGAAGCCTGGTTTTGTTGAGTCAAATGTAACAGTGATCCAAGGCAAAGAAACTCTGTGTGGGTAAAGCCTTTTCCCTCCCCACTCTCCTGCAGAGCTGGACACTGGTAGAGGACAGCACCAAGAAAACCAGTACTAATGCTTTTGTGCCCCTGGCCTCTTCCACAGGCACACCAGCAAGCCAGAGAAAGGGATCTGGCTAGGCTCTTCACTTATTCCCAGGTGAGATGCAGGTTCTGCAAGAGACTCTGCAGAGGGGAAGTCTGACCCAAACATAAGTCTCTCTCTGTTGCACTGGGATGTAGCATGGAGGTTCATGCTTAGTGATGTAGTGATTAATCTGGTGGCCAAGTGGCCCACAGCCTTTCTGGTCAGAGTTGTTTTGCACAAGAAAAAAGTTTCTGCCCACAAGAAAATCAATATGCTAGAGAAGACAGAGGCATGTGACACGGATGGGACCACTATGGGGACTTCAAGGACATCAAGACCCCATGCAACTCATACACACCTTCAGGACACACCATGTGAACTTGAGGCCCAGTGTCAAAACAGACCTCCATTCTCAGAAGTGTTCTGCACTTGTAACAAGTCACCTGAATAAAGGATGCTAAGAACTGGAGGAAAATATTTGCTGTGCATGTGAAGCCACTCCCATAAAAAGGAAAACCAGGATCAGAGATGAATCACTCAGACTTGGTCGGATGCACTTACTGCAAAGCAAGTCTCCACCTCTTACCAGAGGTGCCACTGACACATGTCATGGAGCTCTTTTAGTAGCACCCCAAAGAAGGAGCTCCCAACTTCTGTCACAAGGGAATGCCTGAAGTCCCTAATCCACTGGCTCTGTAAGATCTTCTCTGGCCCAGCTACCACTACCCATAGACTCTTTAGCTGAATAAAGCCAGCATTTCTCCTGGAGGGGGCAGGTTCCCTTTTCCTGCATATACTCCACATCAGTGTGGACGAGTCACCTGGCCAGCAAACCAGTCATTTAAAAAACATAGAATGATTATTGGCAAGGCAGGGGGAAGAGCTGGCTAAGAAAGGGGAAAAGCTCTAAGCTGGGTCTGTCCCCCAGCCAGTCTGAACATGTGAAAGGTCCCTGCGACAGAACAGGCATCTAGATCTAGTAGACAGAGCATGCCAGAGAATCAGTTATGCCACTGATGGCCCATTCTATAACATCTATAGAGTGGTAACACCTACATGTTAACTGGGTCAGGACCTTATTGTGCCAGGTGCTGTCCAGAATATAGGGACTGCCCCCTGCATAAAAGAGCTCCCCTGCCCTAACAGGTTGAATCTCTCACCCTAAGTGACCCATCCAGAGAAGCCTATGGGAATTGGGCACTCAGATCTCACTGAAATGTACTGGGAGCTAGGTGCCTATTGACACCCAGCCCCTCTGGGCCTTTTGCTTTCTCAAGCACATTTGAGGATAACAATTTACCTAGTTAGAAATGCACCTGAGGCTGGAGAGTGCGATATAGTAATATAAATGTCCGCAATAAGAAGTGTATGGCAGATCTGTGGGTACAGCTGCTGTCATCCCCAAGGGAGCACAGGAAAGCAGCCCTGGTTAGTACAGCTGTAGGAGGGGATTGCCTGCAGTCAACTCAGGTTGAGAACGGACAATCCCAGGGCCCATTCAGAAGTCCTTGGCTACTCACCGGCCTTTATAGAGGATGCAACCTGCCAACACTTGAGGGGAACGCTGGCAGGTCTGCAAGATGAGAGCTGCTTTCAGTAACAGCAGGGGGTCTACCTGCACAAGGAGCAGGAGAAGACAATTAACCATCAAACCCCAGGAAATAATCACAGTAGCAAACAGACCTCTAAAGGGCACCTCTCAGTGCAACAAACTAGTCTAGGTGCTGCCCCTTGCAGAGATTCCAGGAGTTACCTTGGTTCTGTCCAAGTTCCAAAGGGAATTGAAGATCTTGTGTAGGTCGCTGGTGTTTTTCTGGATGTGTTCAATGTACCTGTCCCACTGCGTGCTCAGCTCCTCCCGAGAAAACACCTGGAGAAGCAAGAATCCCCACAGTAAGACACATGGCTGGAGTTAACATGGGATCCAAAGTGCCCAAGACAGTTAGATGGGATTTGTTCAGGGAAGCATCCAAGCAGCAAGTCTTCAATGAAAAGTCCACCAGAACACTAAACCAAGACCAGGAATTGAATCTGGTCCTGCAACAGCAAAAGCCCAGTTAACAGAGGATTTATAGGTGCTGGACAAGAGAGGGCAGACAACAGAGACCAGATGCCATAGGAACCCAGTAGCTTAATTCTGGTTGTCTGCACTCTCCTTTTCATTACTGACAACAGAGAACAGGTGGGGAAAGGCACTCTCCAATCTGGCATGGGATGCTGAGTGCCACACTAGACGGACAGTGGCAAGGAAATGCTCAAACATCATCCAGTTCCCTTTCACCATCCTGGAACAAGGGGACAGCCCACAAGACCTCAGTGTGCAACATGGATGGCAGCAAGATGCGTGCATGTGACCTTTGGTTTCACACTGGCATGCAGCAGGAGTTTGTCAAGGGGCAGAAAGTTGCCAGACTCTCCCCTGCAATACTCCCCTCAGATCTGGGAACATCATTCCCCATCTGAAAGCAGCTACGAGACAGAAAGATATACAGAGGTGAAGGGAGGCTAGAGAAACAAAGGCTTAGATCTGCATAGCTAGGCTCAGGGGAATGGAAACCACCTGTGGCTGAGAGGCCTTCTAAGGCAAGGCTACTCAACCCGCGGCCCATTTGTTTGTGGCCCACAGTGTGGTTTGGATTTATACATAGCCTGTGGGTGGGATCCTTTGAACATGGCCTTCACTGGGAACATGCTCCACAAGGGCGAGGCATCTCCCAGGAGGGGTGAGCATTGAAAGATGCAAGCAGATGAGCTGGCTGGTACAGGGTGTCAATGTTTCTAGCTCCCAGGGAGGAGGTGCTGTGAGTGCTGGGGCATTGTGGAAAGTGCTGGCTATTTAGCCATGTGGGCAAAGCCTGCGAGGTACCGACTGGCTCACAATGGCCACATATGGGTCCGGTGCCGCAGCTTAAGGCTTAATCTTTGTATTCATGCCTGTCAACGTGAAAGAAGATATCTGCATATATTTGCAACCACACTTAAGTTGCAGCTCTTGGCATGTGCTGTGAGTATCATTGTGGCCCTCGGGGCTTCCAAAGTTGAGTAGCCCTGCTCTAAGGAGCAAAAGGAATGATGTATACTGGGGTAGAGGCAGGGACTAGACATGATGGGAGAACAAGAGAAGGAAACACCCTAAACATGAGGAATCTTCCCATGAAGTTATAAGAGGGATTGTCTCCTAAGAGAAGTGGGGGGGAACGTCATCATGTAGGATGCTGACGACATCACAAACGAGATCTTGCCATGTAGGGATGGGACCTAAGGACTTTCCAGCTCACATTCCTGTGATCTCCAAGCTGCCTGGGTGCAGGAAGGCCGAGGGAATATGTCAGCCTCCACAAAACTGACCAGGCTTCAGCCATTCTGGGAGAGAGTCAGACCCTCATTGATCAGGGAGAGATACCCACCACTGTTAGTCTGCAATTACCGTGTAAGCATGACACACAGATCCATTGTAAAATCTGAAGAGTCCAATCAGTAGTTCCAGAAATTGTTGACAGCTGATATCAGGGAGTTCAATGGTACAGCCCAGCGCCTTCAACACACAAGGGTACAGAACAAAAGTTTCTGATGTGGCCATGCTATTGGCAAAGCAAACAGCTGCAGCATGCTTGAAAACTCAGTTTGGGAAGTGTCAGCAGTAGCATCTGTCCTATCAGCAAAGGTGGAAAGCCAGAGCTTGAAGGCAAAGGTGAAAAACTCAAGGGCCTGACCTCTAGTTTAATGCTTAAATTGCCAAGAACATCTGGCCCAAACTGAATATTTTGAGGCTCAATTCACTAATTAATGACCTTGAGAAGAGGCTTCCATCTTCCTCCACCAGAGAATAAGACAGTGCACCAAACTTCTGAGAATCCACAAAAGTAACTAGATTGTCAGGGGGTTCTACTTGTTGGGAGAACTTCCTGCAGTGTGGCTTTACCCCCCAATTGGGAATGCCCACTGAATGAGCTGCAAGTGGCCTGGATCAGTTCTCAGAGCATGTGACCACATCACATCACAGAAACTAGATCTGCTCCCAACATAAGAAATCCACTATCATTGCCAAGAGCTTTGCAATGGGTAAAGAGCTTCCCAGCCCTTTGGTATACGCTACATCCATGGAGTTCTGTTTTCAGCTAGTTTGTACCTTTTCCATCGGCCCATAGATCCTTGTAGCCCGAATCCTACAGCTGCAGGTCTCTCCTGAATTCTGCCAGGCCACTGCCACCAGTACCCTAAGAAATCAACCCTTATGCAAGTTCCTAGAGCTCCTCACATGCCTCCTGTTCATTTGAACTCACCCAGAGATACTCTCCGTCCACCCGTACTGCAAACTTGAGCTTTCTCAGCTGAATGAGACTAGGGGGAGCACTGGAGATCTCAGTTATGCAGTGCACCACTCCTGCAATCTGTCCACACAGCAGCTCCTGCTGGTCCAAGACAGTCTGTGAGAGGAGGAAGAAGAGTGTATTTTGCAGCATTCCTGGAGAGGCACCACATTTACATGGCAGCCCGATGGAACTGGTGGTGGTAAAACAACAGATGGTGTTTATTACACTGTACCCGGCACAAAGACAAAACACTGACTTTTCATCCCAGTCACAGAGGCTGAGTTCTTATTTAAGCAAAAAGAATCTGACCAAGAGATCAAGAAGAATTAGCAAGCCTGATCCCTGGGGGGAATTTTGTCCACTTCACCATGACAGAATTGGGCATTATGAAAAGTCTCTGCCTATGACACTCAAACAGCAGAGTGTTAAAGAACAGCCTAAAGAGTGCTGCACATATAGGCTACGTCTACAAGAATTTTTATGTTCAAGTATTTGCACAAGAGAGCGTCTACACTGGCATGTGCATTTGCGCAAGAGATGTGCTTTTGCACAAAAGCACCTGTGCCAGTGTAGACATTCTCTTGCGCAAGAAAGCTCTGATGGCCATTTTAGCTATAGAGCCTTTTTGTGCAAGAAATTAAAGTTGCCTGTCTACACTGGCCTCTTGCGCAAGAACAGTTGTGTAAGAGGGCTTGTCCCTAAGCGGGAGCGTCAGAGTATTTGCGCAAGAAGCACTGATTTCCTACATTAGAATGTCAGTGTTCTTGCGCAAGTACTCGTGGCCAGTGTAGATGGGTGGCAAGATTTTGCGCAAAAGCAATTGCTTTTGCGCAAAATCTTGCCACCCATCTACACGTTTACATTGGGATACAAAACCAGTGGCTCTGAATCTCAAATCCACAGCTCTGACTGCATGGCTAAAAGCAGCCAGATAGGGCTCTGAGACCACCTCCCTCCCTGGGTTTCAGAGTCCAGCTCCAGACTGTGCCCTCAGCCGCCACACTGCTTTTTTCTTCCTGCAGACTGAGTCAGGTGACCCAGGCCAGCTGTAGCTGTGCCATGGTCTGTTACTGCAGTGAAGGTTTGCCCGTAAGGGCCACCTATGGCAACAAAACAAGCAGTGCTGTGGATCACAGCTCAGGTATGTTGGCAGAGCTGTGCTATGCATGGCTTTAATGATGTGCTTTAAAAATACAATTAACATAAACTTCTATAAACATTGCAGTTATCAACCTAACCAAACCCAGATATTTGCAAGCACCCCATTCCAAGAACAGAAATTGGCTTTGGTAGGATTTTATATAGAAACATTGTATATAGCCCTACACAGACAACGGAAGAAGAAGAAAAGCAGGCATTACCTGAGAAGGATAAAAGTAGCAAATTCCAGCTCTTGTGGGATCCCCTTCTTCCTTTACCTTTGACCCATCATAAAGGAAAAAGTAGTTCCACCTGCAAAATCAAAGTATTGACACAATGGAAGATGTTTGCTGTTCCCAGCTAAGTCAAACTGGTATTTCTTCCCATGTCCCATTTCTCTTAGGCAGAGCTCTGCAATTTATGGTGTGATACACAAATGTTTCAGGAACAGCTGATGTGCATCATTTTTGCATGCAGCCTCACCCATGGATTTTGGAAACAGATTCAGGGTGGAGAAGGATCTGGGCTAGTCAACTCTCCTAACTTTCTGGGTTTAAAATACAAGACAATAAACTTACGGCTAAAACTAGAGGAGAAAGGCATGGATTTGTGATCCATTTTCCAAGTCTGTGCTGTCATTTATTACTATGTAGCTGCTAACATTTCTCCACTAAAAGCAGTTTGGACTGGTTTTCAGTCACTTAATTGGCTCTTATTTCCTGTTGAACCCACTGAACCAATGTGAAAAAAACATGTCAAACTGAAGTTTTCTCCTGATCAGCGACAGTCTTAATTATTTTGTGTCCTTACTGATTTACTCAAAATATTTTAGTTACTGTTTTCATTGTAGGTTGCATGTTCCAGTCATACACTTTGTGCACAACTGCTTCCAAGCAAGAGTGCTATGAAGAGTGCTAACTAAATCACATGAAGTCTGGAATGAGATGACTGTACAATTCAAAAGGAGAAGCTAAGGAACACAAGTTATTCTCTGCCAAAAAGCAGAGACTAAAGTTGCGCTTGCAAAGCATTCCCGAAATGCCCCACCAGTGAAACAGAAAGGTTGGTAAAGTGTTGCTTTAGGAATCAGATTTCAATTCTATCCTTCGCTCTGTCACAGACTCTCTGTGACTCCATAGGCCAGGCATTTAATTTTTCTCTGCCTCAGTTTCCCGCCTGTGTAATGGGGACAATAATGTTCCCTGTGAGGGTATCATGTGTTTAAAAGACATTCACATATTACTGTGGCAAGCACTTTGGAGCCCACAGTTTATAGCTTGTGATACTGCAGCAATAAACCAAAGCCTGGGGACTCTTGTACCAGAAGCTCAGGGAGTCTCTCCAATTCCGATGGCATAGCCATAGTGGAACTGTGTAGGGATGTTAAAATGTGTTTAATCAAGTAAATGGGTAACTGCTGGAAATTTCAGCAGTTACATGAAGGGGATGGGAAACAGCTCCTCTGAGAGCCGATGAGCGCTGGGAGATGGCTTTTAAGCTGGCTCCCTGCACATACCGGGAGCCTGCGTGTAACCATGAAGTTTAATCAGTGAGCCCAGCCTCATCGGTTAACTGTGTACATGGTTACACTTTCACATCCCTAAATGACTCAGACATTTTAAGATGCTATGCACATCTGTTTGCATGCTTTAAACCATGGGTTCCCAAACTGAGGTGTGTGCGCCCAAATTCCAGGGGGGGCACGAGGAAATCCAGCTCCTCCCTCCCCCAGAATCGCCCTTTCCAAGTTTTGCTATTTTTGTTTTTTTGGCCCTGGTCAGTTCCTTTTTTTGGGGGGCGGGGGCCAAGTTTTGCTACTTTGGAGGGGAGGGGACGGAGCATGAGGGTTTCTCAAAAATCAAAAAGGGGGCGAGATGCCAAAAAGTTTGGGAACCACTGCGCTAAGCAATCCCATTCTGGCCTCCATATCAGTTATGCAACCTTACCTTGCAACTCTAGAGCATGTACAATGACTGCTACTTACCAAGAAGCTGAGTTAGTTTCAGATAGAACGGGGATAGCCATTTATATCAGATTATCTTAATCATGTCTCATCATCCTCACAAGTCTCTCTCCTCCAAAGCAAGTGGTGCAAACAACTTATTTGTTTTCCAGCAGTAAACGTATTGTTCCACAAATGCTGACTGTGGAGACTTCAGTGGGTTTTGGCTCTAGGTGATGAATATGTTGGAGATGTTAAAATACTGATGTCAACAGTGCTCTTTGTGGCTTATTTACATGAATAACAAAAATGAACCAAAGTGCTTTCATTGTAGAGGTTTATCTCACAATAGCTACATTAACACTGTGCCTAAGCTACATTAAAGTCTCTTCAAAACTTGGGTTCATCAATTCTGGGACTGAACTAATGAAGCTACTTTATGAAAACATTCCAGACAGGACAGAAACAATCTTAAGTATCTGCAATGAATCAGAAAGCTACAGAAAGCATGAATTTAGTTGTCAGAAACAAAGAGCTACAAGAGGCAAATCTCATGACACTACACTAGTTCTTTCAAGTTTATTATTTAGCATTTAAGTGGCCATCTGTGCAAAAAATTATCACTACATGGAGAATGTTCTCTCAGAGGAGCTCCTATTTAGGGATGTTCTGCTGAAGACACTGCTCCTTGAATAATCCGTACAAAGTTGAATGATATCCTGTGGTCTCCAGCATTCATGTTATTCTTTTAATCCTAGAGTAAAGAATGAATAGATTAATGCTTGGATGCCTTTGCTGAACTAACATGTGATCCAATAGGGAGCAGCTGACAAGCATTCAACAACAGAACTTGTGCATGAGCAACACTGGGGACATAAACAAGCCTTCCATTTAAACAAAGGTACATTTAATATGCTTGGAATATTTAATGTAAGCATTGGGCTACATCAGTGCTTAACCGTGCATGATCCTGACAATCAGAGAAAAATCCTCTTAATAGGAACACAAAGAGGTAGAAAATGTAACAGGCTAACCTAAGGGCTGCAGTGAAAATTAACTGAATGAAATTTGATTTTCTATCTTAACAACAGGAACATAACAGGATTGCCATAGAAGATGAGGTCAACAATGACCCATCCAGTTTGCTGCCCTGTGTACAACATGAAGCGGTATCAGATTCTTCAGAACACGCACACAATTCCGGGAACAGAAAAGCCGGCTCA